CCTTCTGTCCACATTCCCTCCAGCATCTGTTGTTATTAGAGTTCTTGATTTTAGCCATTCTAACTGGAATGAGGTGGTATCTCAATGTTGTTTTGATTTGCATTTCTTTTATTCCTCTGCCAATTTATTGAACACTTGTGTTGTCTTCATTCTAAGCACTTGGCATTTATGATTTTACCTATTCTTATAGTCATCTTTCTGAAAAATACTGTAATTCCATTACATAAATAAGAAAAGTGAGACTTTAAAGGATTAAATAATCTTCTCTGGATCACATGACTAGTGAGTGATAGAATGAGTGACCTCAACCTGCCTGACCCCAAAGCCTTCATCTTAACCAATGTATGTGCTACATATATCCAATATGCAGAGGATAAAGAGGTATAAATAATAGACAATAATAAAACAGTACCAAAACAAGTGAATTAGAACTGAAAATAAGTTTGCCAGGTTTCACAAGGACACAAATTAAAGGACTAATATAACGAAGTGAGAGGAGATTTAGTCTGCATCCAAGAAAACCTAGCAGGGATGAAAGGAATCACAGGGATTTCTGTTGTTTTTCTTTAAAAAAATGAACTTAATACTTTTTATTGTTATTATAAAGGTGACATATAGAGGGGTTACAGTTACATAAGTCAGATAAACAGTACACTTCTTTGTGAACAATGTCACCCCTTCCCTAGCTCTTCTGAATATCTAACTGCTATTCTAGGTAGGAAGGTTTCCAATCAAACAATGTGCAAGCAGGAGCTGGTTTACACTCAGAAATGTCCTACGAGAGTGGAGGTTAAAATATATGACCTTTATAGTTCCCTAGCTCTGCTTCCTTCAGCAAACATTTCAGAGCAAACAGCAGGGATTCTGAGTTGAAATGATTCAATTAGCAAATATTTTTCATAATGTGAAGTTTTCTTTACCTGTATATTTCACTTACACATAGTTTCTTACTTATGTACAATTTTTTAAAAAGGAAACATTATAGGCATATAATAAAAACATGTAGAAAGTAGAGGTATGGCTCAAGTAGTAGAGTGCTAATCTTGTTGAAAAAGCTAATCAGGATATGAGTCCCCAAGTTCAAGTCCCAGTAACAGTGCACATGTGCGTGCCATGTGCACGCACATACACACACAATTAGGATCAAATCAAGAAAATGTGGTATATGTACACAATGGAATTTAACTCATCCATTAGAAAGAATAATATGTCATTTGCAGTGAAATGAATGGACCTAGAACCAATTAGGCTAAGTGAGGTGAGCCAAGCTCAGAAAGAGACAAATGGCCCATGCTTTTCACACATGTGGAAGCTAGATCTAAAATACAACTGGACAAGATAACTTATACGGGGCTCTAGGCATTTATACACAAACACACTGACTATAGGAGTATACACTCAGGGGAGGAACCCAAAGGTGTAACTTCTCTGAACATCTAAAGGGCTATTTACTTTAGGAACTGGAAACATATATTTTGTTGATTTAGGGTTTTTGGGGGAGGTGAGGTAAAATGGGGACATAGAAATGCAGGGGAAAAGTGAGCTAATGCTCTGATTGTAGACAATATACACTATTTAAAAATGAACTATGCAGTTTGAGGGCAGGGACAGAAGGGACAAAATGGGGGAAAACAAAGGAAAAGGTGACACTGTCTAAGAAACATTGCACTCATTATATAACTTGTGGAATTGTAATCCCTTTGTACAACTTTTTTTTTGTGAGAATACCGTACGTGGGCAAGAAAACGAGTACATTTCTTATCAAGCATTGTAGCCTCCTCATTGTTTCCCCTTCCCATCCCTTCCCATACTCCTACCCTCCCCCCACCCAGTCCTCTCCCCACCCCCCACCAAAGTTGTTAAGTTCGTTTTTCGACATAATAACTTGTACATCTCATTGTTGCAATGGGTCCACCTGTATCCCTAGTTAAACGATTTGTTTTTTTCCCTTCCCCTCCACAATTTATACCAACATCAAATACAGTGAAAGTATGGGTTATACTGTTGGGGAGGGACATACAAAGCAACATAGAAATCATCTTATAAATATGATAGAAACAATCGCATGAAAGGAAAAAAATTTGAATACTTATCTTGGGGTTCATTCCACTAACATCAACTTCTTAATTATAACAATAAATACTGATATTAAAAATAGGACCTTATATGCGCATAAGAAGATTCACAGAAACATTATGTTACAGGAATCCCACCTGACTTGCAGGTTTGTTGCATGGAGTTTAAACCAAGCATGGTTGGGGAAAAAAAACCCAATTACTAAAAATCAAAAAATTTCAAAAACAGAAACTTTTAATTCCTACACACATTACACAGCTAGAAGCTTTCTATAAATTCCACTTTACCATTAACTCTACTTCAATCACTGTGTAATCTGCTGGATTTTCCTGTCTTTAAATTTGTGAATAAATGCTTCCCAAGAAACAAATGGTACCTCCAAAGCAAGGGAAAGCAAGGTAAAAATGAATTAGCTTAACTGAAGTGATAAAAATGAAGATTTTTAGATGTGTTGAAAGACAGCCTGTCTTTAGCAGGAGTTCAATGGGAATCATACATGTGTAGTAAGTATTCAAAGTAAAGAGACACCAGTGGCACATGCCTGTAATCCTAGCTACTCAGAAGGCTGCGATCTGAGGATCACAGTTCAAAGCTAGCCAGGGCAAGAAAGTCCATGAGACTCTTATCTCCAATAAACTACTCAGAAAAAGTAAGAAGTGGTACCATGGCTCAAGTGGTAGAGCGCTAGCCTTGAGCACAAAGAGGCTCAGGAACTTGAGCACAAAGATGCTCAGGAACAGTGCTCAGGCCCTGAGTTTAAAGCCCCAGGACCAGCAAAAAAAAAAAAAAAAAGTAAAAAGCATGAAATAGGATAGCTTTGGAAGTTGTGGTGTGGCTCAAGTGGTAGCGCACTCGCCTTGAGCTGAAGAGCTGAGGGATATCGCCAGAGTTCAAGCCCCACAACCAAATAAAAGAAATAGGGTAGCTTTTGGTGAACTGTATTAGAGTATTTTTTTGTGGCAGTAATGTAGCCTACCCCATGTGGTTTCAAGTTATAAATGTTCAAACCTAGTAAAGATAAACTGAGTGATTTTAAAATACTGAATTCTGTGTATCCAGACACTTTACAGTTTTTCCTCAAGAGTACCCTCCTTGGAACTATATATACACAGATACCAAAAATCTGCTTTAATATTTTTAAAAAAGGTAACAATCCAGAGAGCCATCTACAAAGGCATGGTTAAAAAAAAAAGGCATGAAACATCATGCAGAAGGAAAAAAATAATTTAGATGGTAAAAGCACATTTAACTTACTTAAGTTCAACTATATGTTTAGGGCAAAAGCAGAATAAATTATAAGTCATAGCCACTATTTGTAAGCCAAATATATCACCTGGTTCTTATCTGTTCTAATACTTGAAAAACTGACTACCTTAAACATATTGTAGAGATTTACATTATGTTCAAAATAATGAATTGTACAGAAGAACCATTAGGAGATTCTGAAGAGAAATTTCTATTCATCATAAATACATTATGAACAGTGGTAAAGCATACAGTATAAGCCATTAGTCTCTTTCCTCCCTTCTTAACTTTAATGCAAATATTTTTTTAATCTAACCCCATTTAAAATGTAATTCTATTGTACTGTCAAGACAAAGATGAGATGCAATAGTAAATATTAATATTCATGAAGCAGTTTCTTTGCACCAAACCCTGCTATAAAAACTTCAAGTACATTATTCTATGTAAGGCTTATAAAAGACTTGTGGGACAGATACATCTCCAATTTTAGACTTCAAGACACGAATCACAGAAAGATTACTGACAACCTCAACATGATGGTATTTTGCTGCATTTTAGTAAACTGTTATTCCTTTACAATCCCTTAATCTTAAGAAAGTATTTTTACACCATTTGCACTTTTTCCTCCCAAGAGGCTCTAGTTGTAAACATCACGACTCTCCAAACATCTTCTCCCAGAGAGGTGTGCTCCAGGAAAGTCTGAGCTGGAATCTCTCTTTCTCAGATGCTCAATAATAATGTAGCAGTGAACATCCACACAGGAAAATGAGGTTTAGACATGGCATTTGGAAAAGGCCCAGTGAGCCCACCTATCATTCACCCCTCCCCATGCAGTCCAAAATGAAGACAAAAGGAAGTCTGAAAGATTAAAGGAGGGACTAGAGACTACCACAGGCTGCCTTTAATCCTCTACGAGATCAATAGCAAAGTACAGGTAAATGCACAACAAATTTTGACTCCAGTTTTTAATTCATTTACAATAAGTTCTAAGTTCTTCTATATATACCATTCAAGTATTTGTTCAAAACAAAGTTATTACCATACCTGGTTATTTCTTCTTTCAGTTTACATGGATCATCAGCATAGAATTTGATACCAAAATACAAAGTATATGGAGGCCCAGCTAAAATAAGAAATAGAAGTTAATTACAATTCACAATATGGTCAAAATAGTGTCTTAACATTATGTAACTATTAAGATTTGCACTATGGAAAGGGTGGGGGAAAGAGTGGGGGAAAAGAGTGGGGGGAAAGGGGTGGATGAGAATGTTAAAAGAAGCAGCTCTGATCAAGAGACATTATATTCATAAATTTCTTTGTTGAATGGTAATGCCTCTGTACAACTAAAGAAAAAAATTTAAATGTTGGGAAAAAAGAACTGCACTAAGAATTTCTAAAGACAAGCAGACATAGTGACAAAATCAGCATCTATGAACAGACAATACAGGGACAAGACAGAATGATGCTGGCTCTTGTATCTGATTGATGAGACCACACAATTTTTTGTTTACTTCCCACTAATTGCAATTTAGAGAGAGATGTTTTTTTTCCATAATGAAGAAGAGTAGTGACAAACTAAGTATACTATTTTTTAAAAGCCTTTGCCTACAATTTCAACTAAGAAAATTTTTCTAAAAATACATTTTATTAGTATCTTATAGTTGTATAAGGGGGGGTCATTGTAATATTTTATACATGTAAAGTTTTTTCATTCTTAAAAAACTTCTTTGTAAAACTCTGGAAACAAATATTCATCATCAAGTGGATCATCAACCTGATGGTGGATAAGTCAACTACATCATAGGCCCGAGGAATGATAACATGAAAGTATTTAACCACACAGAGGGACAGCTGTTTGGTCTATGTTCTCAAGTGCAGAAACAGAATTTATTTTGTGAAAAAGGATAATATTAATATATGTTGTTTTTCCTGAAGGAATACACAGCAATCATAAGTAAGGGCTAACTTTGACCACAGTGATTATAAACTTTCTTTTTTTAAAACTGATTAGCTAGAACTTACAATGGATACCGTGTGTGTGTGTGTGTGTGTGTGTGTGTGTGTGTGTGTGTGTGTGTGTGTATGTGGGTGAGTGTGTGTACACAGGGGCACAAGTTCCAGGGCTTGAATTCAGTTGCTCATATTGCTGCTTGACTTTCTTCTTTTTTAATATTTTTTAATTATAAAACTAGTGTACACAGGGGTTAGTTACATGAGTAAGATAATGAGTACATTTACTATCAAGCATTGTTACCTCCTCCTTTGTTTTTCCCCCACCATCCCTTCTCTCCCCACCTCCCCAACACTTCTCTTCCTCCCCCCCACAAGCTGTAAAGTTCATTTTCAATATAGTGTCTCGTATATCTCATGGTTACAATGGGTCAACCTGTATCCCTATTTAAGCATTTTGTTTTTCCCTTCCCCTCCCCAAATTAGAAAAGTGTATATACAAGATGCAGGGCACCAGAATCAAACACAGTGAAAACAGGGGTTATACCATGGGGGAAGAACATACCAAAGAAACAAAAAAAAAATCACATAGTACATTATAAGTACATTAAAAACAATAGCAAGAAAGAAAAAAAACACTTATGTCCCTGTCTTGGGGTTCATTTCAGTTAACATCATCTTATATGGTCATATGTACATAGCTTTTGACCTTTTCTGCTTGTCCTAGACTTATACAAGTTATTGCAAATAAGGGAAACCATGGGACCTATGTTTCTTGGGGCCTGGCTTACTTCACTTAATATAATTTTTTTCTAAGTCTTTCCATTTCCTAACAAATGGGGCAATATCATTCTTTCTGATGGAGGCATAGAATTTATATATATATATATATATATACCTGTTGCTTGACTTTCTTGCTCACAGCTGATGCTCTAAGTCAATCATTTCCTAGTTAATTGGAGATGAAGTCTCTTAGACTTTTCGGCTGTAAGTAGCCTTAAACCTCAATCTATGATCTCAGCCTCCCAAAATAAGTAGGGTTACAGACATGAGCACCAGTGCCAAGTTCATAGATATCTTTTTTAAGAGAAAAAAATCATCAGTGAAGCTATGTGATAGGATTAAACAATAATTCCTTCATTTTGGAACTTTTCTTCATTAAAAATATATTCTTGTAACAATAGGAAATTTTTAATTAAGTATTTATTGTGAAAATACTATACAGAGGGGTTACAGTTACATGAACAAGGTAATGAGTACATTTCTTATCCAGCATTGTTGCCTCCTCTTTGTTTTTCCCCTACCATCCCGTCCCTCCCACCTCCTCAACTACACCAACCCCTGCCACCCTCCCCCCCCCCAATTGTAAAGTTCATTTTTCAACATAGTATCTTAACATCTCATTGTTGCAATGGGTCAATCTGTATCCCTATTTAAACATTTTGTTTTTTCCCTTCCCCTCCCCAAATTATACCACCATCAAATACAGTGAAAACAGGGGTTATACCATGGGGGAGGGACATACAAAGCAACAAAAAAAAAATCACATGGTACATTATAAATACGTTAGAAACAATAGCAAGAAAGAAAAAACCACTTGTGTCCTTATCTTGAGGTTCATTTTGCTTAACATCATCTAATCTGACCTTTTCTGCTTGCCCCAGACATATACTAGTTATTGCAAATAAGGGAAACCATGGGACCTATGTTTCTTTGGGCCTGGCTAATTTCACTTAATATAATTTCTTCAAGTCTTTCCATTTTCTAACAAATGGGGGTGATGTTAGTCTTTCTGCTGGAGGCATAGAATTTCATTGTGTATATAGACCACATTTTCTTGATCCCTTCATCTATTGAGGGGCATCTGGGTTGGTTCCATATCTTAGCTATGGTAAATAATGCTGCAATAAACATAGTTGTGCTGGTAGCTTTAGTATGGTCCTGTTTGTGATCATTTGGGTAAATGCCCAAAAGTGAGATTGCTGCATCATAGGGAACCTCCACACTGCTTTCCAAAGTGGTTGAACAAGTTTACACTCCCATCAACAATGCAGTAGGGTTCCCTTTTGGCCACATCCCCTCCAGCATCTATTGTTATTAGAGTTCTTATTTTAGCCATTCTAACTGGGTTGAGGTGGAATCTCAATGTTGTTTTGATTTGCATTTCTTTTATGAATGAGCATTTCTTCATGTGTCTATAGGCCATTCTTCAGAATAGCAATTTTTTTTATCTCATTAGTCTTTCATAAACAGAAGAACTCAGTTCATAAATAACAAAAACAAAATTAAAACTTTGTAAACAAAGCCTGGAATTATACATATGTGGGTAAACATAAAATAAAGTATTAAATACAATGTTCAGGACAACAGTTCTTTTATGGCAACTAATTTCCTTTACACTTTTACTAAAAACATTTTATTTCTGAGAACATGAATGTGACCTGTGCAATTTTTAGAACTATACTTTCAAGTTAGCAATAACTATATCTAACATAATCTGTTTGAAAGGGAGCTTTTTTAACTTGACACACCGATAGGCAGTCACAATTTAGTTCTGAGGGTTTTCATTTCTCGGCCAAAGTTTTCCCTATTAATAATGTTTATAAGGTTAAGAATGCAGCCAGACGCCAGTGGTTCACACCTATAATCCAAGCGAATCAGGAGGCTAAGATGTGAGGATTTTGGTTCAAAGATAGCCCAAGCAGGAAAGTCTGTGAGACTCTTACCTCCAATTAACCACCAAAAGGCCAGAATTATAGCTGTGGCTCAACTGGTAGAATGCTAGCCTTGAGCAAAAAAGCTCAAGGACAGTGCCCAAACCCTGAGTTCAAGCCCCAGAACCAGGACTAGCACACAAACAAAAAGAATGCATTTCAGGGTAAGTATCTTATGCTTGGTAACTCATAAAGTATCTCTGATATAGTCTTATTTCTAAGAAATAAAAGACACAAATTTAGAGGAACAGAAACTAGAACAAGTAATGTAGTTATAATAAACTAATTTTATTTATTATTATTACATACACATGCTTATGTTGACAATCTCCCCAAGTCATGTTCCCAGCACACATTGAGTGCCAGCCCTTCTCCTTAATTGATGCCTTCTTGAGTAAGGAACTTCTTATGCAAGTGCAATTTGAAACAAAATATTAAGCACCTTGCTCTAATTTTTTATCCTGGGAGTTGCTGCCATTGGTTTGATCTTTATATTTATTTTACCACTGTGTGTATATTTCTGATAAATATACCTCTATCCCAGAACATAGATGTCAAGGATGATAGACTATTAAATATTTAGAAGATGCAGGAAGTCCATGCTGGGCTGATCCCATCATGTCAATCAAGCTCTGTGATCCAGAGCAGATGGAGCCTCTTGTGCCTGCAGGCAGCAGGGGTTGGCACTTAGGGGGCGGGGACATGCACAGATGCTGCAGAAACACTGCAGAAAGGCAAGAGGTCTCCTAGCCTCCAGAGCTGCTTTTATTCTCTGCAACATAGCAGATTACAGCCTATTCACCAAACACCATTTCAAATGGGCTCAGTGATGAACAGTTAAGCAGAAGTTTGAAAAAAATACAAAATGAAAAATATTGTTGTCATCTGATAGCATTCAATAATGAGTGAAAGTGTTTCATAAACATTTGATTTTGAAAGACAACCTGGTTAACAGCGAAGCTCCAAGAAATTAAGCAACTTGTTTAAAATTTCAGAAGTGAAGTTAGGCCCAAAGAGACAAAGGACCATGTTTTCTCTTATATGTGGAACTAGATTTAGCTTACAAACTCATAAGTAAATATGCTGGGTGGTATGTAAATATATATAAATGGTTTAACTGATTCAAAGGAGATCTCGAATAGTGTAATACCTTAGAAAGCCAAAATCAAAGTTCAGCAAAATAAAACGCAGGAAGTAGGAACTCAAAGGAGTTGGTGTGGGGTCAAGAGGAAAGAGGTTGATGAATGAAGAGGAGAAGAGCAGGAGAATGCAATCAAGAAAACAATGTATATCTCATAAAATTAAGAAGAACGAGGAAAGGAGTAGAAAGGGGAGGGATGGTTGAGAATGTTGAAAGACATTGATCAAGATACATTGTATTTGTATTAACTAATATGTGTCTAGGACAAGCAGAAAAGGTCAAAAGCTATGTACATATGACCATATAAGATGATGCTAAGTGAAATGAACCCCAAGACAGAGACACAAGTGGTTTTTTTCTTTCTTGCTATTGTTTTTAATATACTTATAATGTACTATGTGATTTTTTTTTTGTTTCTTTGGTATGTTCCTCCCCCACCATATAACTCCTGTTTTCACTGTATTTAATTCGGGTGCCCTGCATCTTGTATATACACTTCTCTAATTTGAGGAGGGGAAGGGAAAAAAAATGCTCAAATAGGGATACAGGTTGACCCATTGTAACAATAAGACACTGTGTTGACACAAACTTTACAACTTGTGGGGGAGGGAGGGAAGGAGGAGTTGAGGAGTTGGGGAGGGAAAGGATGGTTGGGGATAAACAGAGGAGGTAACAATGCTTGATAGGAAATGTACTCATTATCTTACTCATGTAACTGTAACCCCTCTATACACTATTTTTTACAATAAAAACATATTTTTAAAAAAGATATATTGTATTTATAAACTGCTTTGTTAAATGTCAACTCCTTTGTACAACTACTTAAAGGTAATAATACTAAAAAAAATAATAAGCGGAGTGCCAATGGTTCATGTTACTGGGATCTGAGGACTGAAATTCAAAGCCAGCCCAGACAGAAAAGTCTGTGAGGCTCTTATCTCGAAGAACCACCAAAAGGGCAGAAGTAGAGATATGGTTCAAGTGGTAAAGTTCTAGCCTTGAGCAAAAGGAGGTCAGGGACCGCATGGAGGCCCAGAGTTCAAGCCCCAGGACCAACAAAAACAAACAAACAAACTATAAATTAACAAAAAAAAGAAGCTAGACATTTCCGTCCTAGTCTATTGGGCCCCTTAAGGAAAACAAGAGAAAGTACAGAGTGAGCAAACACATCATCTGTGCCATTCTGCTAGAGCAATCAGAGCCTAGGAAAATGATTAGGGGCAAGAATATATCTGGCCAGATACTTTTGGCTTCCTAATTTAAGACTATAAAAACCAGTTGCTGATTAAGCAAATTGTTAAATTATTATTAAGTCAATGTCTTTCTACAGAATCAACATTAAAGAAAAAAATCCATAAAATAAAGCTAATATTGTTTACCTTAACAAAAAGTCAGAAACTGGGAGTTGCCTATATCTGACTTTTATGAAGATTAATTTCCAGTCTTTAAATGATAATAATGAACTTCTATTTCATTTAAGGATAAATACATCAAGACTTGGCTACAGCAATGTTCTTTTGTTCTTACAGATATTGCTCCTGCCAACTCTACTGTAGATCCATGTTCCTTCACTATTCATCAGATTATTTTTATTGTCAAAGTGATGTACAGAGGGGTTCAGACTTTTAAGAGATGGAATACACACATTCTTGCATGATTCTGTTTCTTTAATTGTGATAGTGTTGTTTGTGTTCTGGTACTAAGGCTTGAACTCAGACTCCAAAGCTCTTGTTTGCTTTTTTGTTCATACCTGGTACTCTCACTTGAGCAACATTTGCACTTCTAACTTCTTGCTGAGTAATTCTCATGAACTTTCCTGCCTGTGCTGGCTTTGAACCATGATCCTCAGATTTAAATCCCCTGAATAACTAGAATTATAGCAATGTGGACCACCAGTGCCCAGCCAATTGTGATAGTGTTTTATTCCTATTATACATCAAATATTTAACAATATCATATTTTCGGGGGGGAACATACGATTTGAATATTTTACAGTAGGTAGACTTTAAGTGTGTGCAGGTAGGTTTTTAATAATACATCTTAAAATAATTTACTTTATTACTTTAATAGAAAGTTCTACTTTTTTCTTATAGGAGAAACCTAAGTATAATTTAAAATAAGCATTCCTGAGATTTTTTTAACTTTCCATCTGGTATTTTTTAAACTGGTTTAAAGGGGTTGTAACTATAATTTGTAAACTCCAGTGGTTTATACCACAGAGGTGGAAGAAATGAAAGACGAATGGGATGGTGATGTTTGAGAAGCACAGCTTGTTTCTGATGGGTTTCCAAGTCCTGGCTTCCCATTCCCTTCTGAAGCATGGCTGCAGTGCTAAGCTTCACACAACCAGTGTTACCAACTCAGGCACTCAAAAATGCTGACTCCACTCAGGGCCTCTGGGCTCTGATTAACATTAATCTAAACACAATGGCTTCGTGAAACAGAGTTTCAGTTTGGGACAACGAAAAACTTAGTATATGGATGGGGTGATGGTTGCACAAAAACGTGAATGTCAATTTACACAAGGATGGTTAAAATGGTCAGTTTTATATGATGTATATTTTATCATAATTAAAAGAAACTACTTTTAAAGTACTATTCTTTTAAATACTTAAGAAATGTGTTTATATGGTTGTATGTATATGTGCATATCATAAATTTAAAAACTCTAAAATTAAGATTTAAGGAATACATAATTAATTATATTGAGTAAATTCATACTGATAAGCACTAGCTAAAGCCTGACAATGGATGCTTGTGCACTCTTGCATTCTCTCTTCCCCTCCCCACTCCTCCCATAATAGTAATTTTTTAAATTACAAGGGCACCCCTTAATAACTTCACAAACTGAAACTGAGTGGCATGAATAACAAAACCACTCTATAACCCCAGAAATTTTTTTCAAAGCTGAGAAGTCATCTTCTTTATTTAAAAATCTATGCTTCTCTGCTTTTTCTGTTTGAAGGCTAAATGTTAAAGACATGAGTAGAGAAAAGTCAAGGGAAGATGTAATCACTAAATAAGTTGGATATAATATTAAGATCTGCTCAAAGCTGGACATGGCGGCCTATGCCTATAAGCCTACCTTCTTGGAAGGTGGAAATCAGAGGATCATGAGGTCAAGGTGAGCCCAGGCAAAGTTAGTGAGACTTTCTCTCAAAGACAAATAAAAACAAAAGGCTGAGGCATAGTTCAGGGCCTAGCATATGCAAAGTCCTGAGAAGTCCTTAGTTCTATACCCAGTAGATAAAGAAACATTTAATAAATCTACTGAGCGTGTGATTAAAGTAAAACTGACTCGGAATTTGGAGCAGGCTGGCAATGCATACAACACCCATTCTCATGTGTTAGCACTGAAGTACTGGTTCTCCCTCTCTAATATGAAAGTTTGTTTCTGCACCCAACTACACATGGGTATTTTATCACTTTCAAGCCACACTTTAACAAAATTAAAATTAAATACCTACTGTTGATCAGTTCCTTGTGTTCAGCAAGCGTTTTTGCAGGATCCAGCCAATACTAAATGAGGGGGGGAAAAGAGGTAATTATACAAACTAGTTGCTTGTCATTGACCCTTACCAAAAGAATATTTGCAAAATAATATTTAAGTGACATTTAGGTACTTACTAAGTAAAAGCCTTTATTTACCATATGTATTTACAATAACATACAGATGATTATTATTGAAGTATGAAGGTCATTCTTGATCATTGCCCTTAGCTAGTCTAAGATATTGGTTTATTAATTCAAACTGATCTTCAGTGAATATAATTTCAAGTATGAATGAGAGAATTCTAGACTCTGGGGAGAAATTTTCTTTTGTGTCACTTTTGTGACATAAAAATCACTAAAAGAAAGAGAAGATACAAGTCTCCAGACTCATCTCTTCCACTGTAAGAGAAACAGGAAGAAGCCACAGAAGCACAGAGAAAGTACCAAGAGTGAAAGTACACGGTGAAAGGCACTGAGGGGGTGCTCTAGAGGACCTGAGGTGTCCAGAGACAAAAATCCTCTTCGCTGCTTTCCTAAATAAATATGGGAAACCCCAAGAAACAAGCTACCCAGTTTCCACGTTCTCATATTCCTGTGTAAAGAATGATTCTCACAGCAGGGAAAACAGAGGAGTGGCTTCCCCCAAGCCACCTCAATCCCACAATTCTCACATTAGCCCATTGAAATCATTCTCACACAGTCTGACAGTCCTAGTCAGGAATAAGGACTGGAAAAGAAGTCCTAGAGAACTTGCCTTCCTGGTTCTCCCTTCCTTTCTTCTGAATTAAGGGCAGATATTATTGTTCTGTCAGGTCAAAGCAGCACTACTTATAAATAGTTCTAATACTTTATTCAATCCCTTCACCTTTTATTCCTAATAACACAAAACAAAAATTCATACTAAGTGTACATCCTAACTCATTTTAACTACAGCCCTACACTCTCTTTGTATATGTAACTGTAACTATCTATCACTCAAATGGCTATTGCAATCTTCCAATGCTGACAAATTGAAGTAAACATTCTATACAAATGTATCCACTTGAACACAATGTTCACTGTGCTGGTATTCAACCTTTCTTGTGATGATGCACTAACTTCTGCAACAGCAAAGGTATCTGAAGCATGGTCTGTAGTCAGGGAAGTGCTTATGTATTCCACAATGACTAAAAGATATGGTTTTAATGTTAAAATAGAGCTTCATAGGAAAACTGGCTTACTCACACAGAGCTAAATCAACCTAAATATTAAGTTGTATGACACAGAGAAGACTAATTTCTCAGCGTACATACAAGTAAGGGTTCTTCCCACGAAATAAAAACATTAGAGCCAGACAGTGGTGCCTCAACGCATGTCTGCCTGTCTTTCTTTCCTTCCTTCCTTCCTTCCTTCTTTTCTTTCTTTTTTGGTCAGTCACGGGGCTTGAACTGTGGGCTTGGGCACTGTCCCTGAGCTCTTCAGCTCAAGGCAAGTGCTCTACCACTTGAGCCACAACACCACTTCCAGTTTTCTAGTGGTTTGTTGGAGATAAGAGTCTCATGGACTTTCCTGTCCCTTCTGGTTTTGAACCGAGATCCTCAGATCTCAGCCTCCTGAGTAGACAGGATTATAGGCGTGACCACTGGTGCCCGGCTCACACATGTATTTCTAGCCACTCAAGAGGCTGACATCTAAGGATCATGGTTCAAAGCCTGCTTGGGCAAGAAAGTCTGTGAGTCTCTTTTTATGGGGGGGGCTTTATTTTATTTATTTTTAATTGCTATTGTAAAGTTGATATACAAAAAGGCTATAGTTACATGAATCAGGTAATGAGAGACTCTTATCTCCAATTAACCACCAGAAAACTGGAAGTGTCACTGTGGCTCAAACTGGTAGAGCACTAGCCTTGAGCAAAAAAGCTCAGGACAGCACCTAGGCCCTGTGGTCAAGCCCCATAGCCAACAAAAAAAAGAAAAAAGAAACATTAGGTAGATGGACTATTTCTTGTCATTTATGTTAAATAAAAAGGTTTAGCTAGGGACTGGGAAGGTGGCTCAGTGGTAGAGTGCTTGCTTTGCATGCATGAGGCCCTGCATTCGATTCCTCAGCACCACATAAGCAGAAAAAGCCAGAAGTGGTACTGTGGCTCAAGTGGTAGAGCACTAGCCATGAGCTGAAGAGCTGAGGTTCAGTGCCCAGACTCAGAGTTCAGGCCCCACGACCAGCCAAAAAAAAAAAAAAAGTTTAGCTATACTCATATTTCTTCAAAGATGAAAAATACCAAAGGGAACAAACATAAATACCAATTAACACTTGCATTAGATTTCTATTACTGCATAATTGTCACAACCCCCATTTATGATCTCAGAGTTCAGCAGACACATAGGTCAGCTGGTTTCCTTTCTTCTTGATCAAGCGACTTGAAAGGCTGTTCAGCAAATATGTAGGGGACTTAAAAATGGGATATTAAAGCTTCTCCAGCTTTTCCCCAGATGTCAAAGCTATCACAATACTGGGACTTAGTTTTAGGCCTTATACCACATTTACACACTGAACTCAACTCAAAAAGTACTTTAGCAAGAAAAGAAGAAAGGGTAGAGGCCTCTGGTCATAATAAGCTGTCTAATCTTGTCTTGCAACTAGAAAGGAACAAATAAAAGGACTTTAAAAGGCTACCTAGTCTATATTAATGTCATAATATGATATACAAATATGTGCACATACTAGGTCACTTTTCTTTTTCTGTCTCCAGAATTTTTTTTCAAACATTGAAAAAGCCAGGATAATAAGAAGGAAGCATGAGGCTCAGAGGAATAGGAAAAATTGGTTTAGCCTATCAGAAAAAAACACATTAATAACATAATAACACAATTTTAACATAAATTTCCTTTCATGAGTAATTAAGTCTGTGAGGTTAGAAAATGTAATGAAGTTTCTGAGATGAATTAGAAATTACAATTTTGCAACAAGTAAAAGAGGCAAGATTCAAAGGCCATTCAATCAATTCACTGCACATCAGATATGCTAAACATCAATCTGGAGCTTGCCACACACAAATCTCATTTGATCAACATGGAAACCAGGGTTACAGAGGTCAGACAATGATAAATGCTCCAGAACACAAATAATAAACACAAGCTATCAGGCTTAGTAAACCAAGATCTTGAAATGCAAAATCCACTTATGTTCAACCAAGGAAAAGATATGACCTTGGAACCAAAGTAGCCATACAATGACAGCTCTCGTCATCACTCATTATCAACAAGCAATCAAATATAACACATGTCTGATCTTAGTGAAACACATCATGCTGATGCTTTATAACCTAAAAGGAAAAAGAGAAGAATTCAACTATGAATACAATATCCCAGCTTTAAGGACAACATTCAGATTACTAGTCATGGGGGCAACAATCCTCAAGAGGTAGGCTCCAAAACTAAGATATCATTCATTCATTCATTCATTTAATATGATATTCATTTGTTCACTTTAACATGCCTCAAAAACTCCTTATATATATAGTATTTATATATCTTTTCAGGCACCATCCTGGGGATCTTTTGAAATATTTACAGTCCAGTAGGAGACACACAAACATATACATATGATACCATGTGGTAAGCTAAACAATAATGTATATACCATGAATACATAAAGGATTATAAAATTATAACAAAGAAAATCAAGTCTGCAGAGTGAGTGTAAGAAGACTTCACAGAAGAGAAAACCATTGATCAATGTATTTATGAAAAAAAATCCTCAAATTAAATAAACAGAGGCAGGTGCCAGTGGCTTGCGTTTATAATCCTAGCAGGAGGATGAGATATGAGAATCAAAGCACATGCTTATCACCAAAACTGCTCTGAAAGTAAATTAGCCTATTTTTAAGTTTCAATATAGAATTTAATATCCCAACTTCTTTATAAGTGAGCACTACACTGAAATTGTTAACAATACTCAGCTAAGAAATCAATATTCACAAAGGATGCTATAGTTTGGGCATGGTTTGTTCCCTCCTGAACTCCTGTTGAAGTGGTCCCCAATATAACAACACTGAGAAAAAGTAGGACTCCAATATAGCAACACTGAGAAAAAGTAGACTATATAAATATAATATATATAAATATACATAAAAAGTGGTCCCCAACATAATAACACTGAGAAAAAGTATGACCATTAAGAGGTGATAGACGTGCTTATGAATGAATTCACACTGCTCTTATTTATAACCGCAGGTTATTGTGAAACAAAACCACCACTCTAACTCCCATTTGACCACTTTTGTTATCTGATACAAGGTCCCTGCCAGGTGCACTTTCCTGACCTCAGACTTCAGCTTCTAGAACTAGGAGCCAAAATGTATCTCTATTCTTTTTAACTTATTCAGTCTCAGATATTCTATCATAATAAACAACACTGAGCAAATTAGAGAAAAAAGCTATCTAGCCTTGTCATCTGTCCAGGGTATAGGGAAAGAAATCAACAAAAATCCCAATACTATAACAGGTGTTGCTGGTCATCAGAGAATGGCATTTTTGGATTACACTTGATGTGCAACCATCTTGCCAACCCAGATGATTATAAGGAGAAATAGCATGTTCTCTGAACATTCAAGCTATCCATTTTCTAAGAAAATCATTCAACAATTTTTTCCCTCATCTTTTTTTCTTTCTTGTAAACGTACATGCTATAGTTTATATATATATATATATATATATATATATACACACACACACACATATATATATATATATTCACAAGCTGGATTAGATCCTATTCTGTAGGAAAATAACAAATGGAAACACACTGTTTTCTCATTGTGCTTCCTAACATTCTACCTAACACAGGAGGGTTAAAACACTGTATCTCAAATACTCAATCACTAAGGAGTCATGATCACAATTCTCTCTTTCTGACCCTTTGCCTAGGTATAAGAGGTAAGTAGTTAGATATCCCTTCCATTTCAGTCTTGTAAATTTTAATAATTGATGCAACCTGGAGAAATGGAAGATGCTTCCTTCTCTGACAATCTTGGCTAAGCACCCTGG